TTTATTTTATACAACTGGAAATTCTGTGAACATTCATTTGTCTACTTTAAAGCTTGAACTCAACATGCATCTGCTGAGAGCACTGGGCATAACAGAACCAAGCAATCCATTTACTCACAGAGGACAACTCAGCCCCATTCGGACTGCAGTATCCAAGGTTCATCAAAAGTACAGCATAAGTTGAACCTCAAAAACAGGTACTGAATGATGGGCACCTTACATGTAGTTTAAAATCAGCTCATACATACAAAAGTCCACATTGTGGAAACAGCCAGCCGAGATCTTATGCTCAAAGCCATCAAAGAGGAGAGCAATGCAATCAAAACCTGTTACTTCCTGCTGGGCACAGAAAAAGATTTTCTGAAATAAAACTGAAAAATTGTTTTTACATATGTAAAAATATAAGTGCTGATCAATTTGTAAACAGTTCTTACCAGGGATGTTCAGATACCAAGTACTGTACTCGGTACAAGTACATGTACATATACTTTTGCATGCCTCCAAGACTAGAGTAGAAAAAAAATCAAAAGTGTGGAGGAAGCTGTTATTTTTAAGGAGCATACAGAGCTCCTGGGATTTGTGCATCCCTGTTTTAATGTATGATTTTTTTTTTTTTTTATAAATGTATATAAGGGATGTACCAATACCATTTTTTTCAAGTACAAGTACTGATACTTGTCCAAGTACAGTACTCACAGATACTAGTACTGATACATTTTTGTTTGTCATGTGACAATTTTTCTAAAACAATGCAGACTAATGATTTCAGGACAGTGCCAGAGCCAGGTCCCAGCTGCAACCCTGGTAGTTCTTGTGAAAAAGTATCGGCACTGGTATCTGAACATCCCTAGTTCTTACCTTAGCATAAAATGAATATATAAATTTTCATAGGTGGTGGACTGAAATATTGTAAACCACCACACAATTAGTTTCAAGTGCATATAAAAAGCATCCTAAAAATCTGTAAAATGAGGAACAATAGATTTGTATTTTAATCAAGACTTATCCGACTTTTTATGGTTGATGGTTGAGGTGTATGGTTTTAAACTGCTTTCGAACTTTGACTAGGGCTTTTGAAGTGCTAGCCAACATGTGCCATTCAAGCTTACTTAAACATTTTCAGATTATCACTAAGGAGGTACAGAGAACAAAGCTAGAAGTAGTAATATTCTGATCATGAAGCACTGTCACTCAACACTGGCCAATATATAGCTGCGCACACAGACACACACACACACACCAATCTACGTGCCAATAAAGAGATTCCATAGTTATGTAGTACAAGTGTCAATCTTATGGGAAATATATTTTGTTTATATATATATATATATATTCAAAAAAATTAAAAGGAACACTTTGAAAACACGTCAGATCTCAATGGGGAAGAAATATCATGCTGGATATCTACTGTATACTGGACTGGCTAATGTGTTAGGAACGAATGTTTGATGGAAATGAAACATTATCAACCTACAGAGGGCGGAATTCAAAGACACCCCAAAAATCAAAGTGAACAAATGATGCAGCAGGCTAGTCCATTGTGCTGAAATTTCATTGCAGCAACTCAAAATGGTACTCATTAGTTTGTATGGCCCCCCACGTGCTTGTATGGATGCCTGACAATGTTGGGGCATGTTCCTAATGAGACGACGATGGTGTCCTGGGGTATCTCCTCCCAGATCTGGACCAGGGCATCACTGAGCTCCTGAACAGACTGAGGTACAACCTGGCAGCGTCAGATGGACCGAGACATAATGTCCCAGAGGTGTTCTATTCCTCAGGCGAGCATGGTGGCCATTCAATGGCATCAATTCCTTCATCCTCAAGGAACTGGCTGTATACTCTCGCCACATGAAGCCAGACATTATCGTGCACCAGGAGGAACCCAGGACCCACTGCACCAGCGTAGGGTGTGACAATGGGTCCAAGGATTTTATCCCGATACCTAATGGCAGTCAGGGTGCCATTGTCTAGCCTTTAGAGGTCTGTGCGTCCCTCCATGGATATGCCTCCCAGACCAGCACTGACCCACCACCATACCGGTCATGCTGAACGATGTTACAGGAAGCATAACGTTCTCCACGGCATCTCCAGACCCTTTCATGTCTGTCACATGTGCTCAGGGTGAACCTGCTCTTATCTGTGAAAAAGCACAAGGCGCCAGTGGCGGACCTGCCAATTCTGGTGTTCAATGGCAAATGCCAAATCGACCTCCACGGTGCAGGGCAGTGAGCACAGGGTCCATTAGAGGGCGTCAGGCCCTCAGGTCACCCTCATGAAGTCTGTTTCTGATTGTTCGCTCAGAGACATTCACATCAGTGACCTGCTGGAGTTCATTTTTCAGGGCTCTGGCAGTGCTCATCCTGTTCCTCCTTGCACAAAGGAGCAGATACCTGTCCTGCCGAAGGGTTAAGGACCTTCTACGGACCTGTCCAGCTCTCCTAGAGTAACTGCCTGTGTCCTGGAATCTCCTCCATGCTCTTGAGACTGTGCTGGGAGACACAGCAAACCCTCTGGCAATGGCACGTATTGATGTGCCATCCTGAGTTGGGATGTGCAACCTCTATAGGGTCCAGGTATCAACTTGTACTACCAGTAGCGGCACTGACTAGCCAAATGCAAAACTAGTGAAAAACAGGTCAGAAAAGATGAGTAGGGGTAAAAAAAAAAAAAGGTCAGTGGCCTCCACCTGTAAAATCATTCCTGTTTTGGAGGTTGTCTCATTGTTGCCCATCTAATGCACCTGTTGTTAATTTCATTAACACCAAAGCAGCTGAAACTGATTAACAACTTAATTGACCTGATCAATATCAATTAGGAGTTTAATTGACTTGATGCTATATTACACACACACATATATATATACACACACACACATATATACATATATATAATACACAAGCACGCACAAACGCACGCACACATTGCACAATTATTAGGCAAGTTGTATTTTTGAGGATTATTTTCAATATTGGACAACTACAGTGCTCTCTGTCAATCCAAAATGTTAATAAACCTCAAACTTGAATGTTTGAGAAAGTAAAAAAGTGAGGTTCTGGCTGTCTTAGGAGAATATCTATGTGTGCACAATTATTGGGCAACTCTTGGTGTGCACACTTATTATGCAACTAAATGGAAAATGAACATTATCTCATCTCTTTTGTTTATTTTCATCTGTTAAAGTGTGAATAATAAAACAAACATCTCAAAATTTACAAATAAACATTTCTGACATTTTCGAAAACAAAATCAGTGACCAATATAGCCCACCTTCTTTTCAATAACAGTCATCAGCCTTCCATTAATGGAGTCTGTCAGTTTCTTCATCTGTTGACTATCAACTTTTTGTGCAGCAGCAGTGGTTGCTGCTGCACAAAAAGTTGATAGTCAACAGATAGTCCAAGGCACTGTATGGAGAGGTGTAGTATTTTCCTTCACCATAAAACTCCCATTTAAGAAGGGTCCACAAGTTCTCAATAGGGTTTAGGTCAGGGGAGGAAGGGGGCCATGTTATTATTCTTTCATCTTTAAGGCCTTTACTGGCTAGCCACACAGTGGAGTACTTCGATGCATGTGATGGAGCATTGTCCTGCATAAATATCACGGTCTTCTTAAAAGATGCAGACTTTTTACTGTACTACTGCTTGATGAAAGTATCTTCTAAAAACTGGCAGTAGTTTTGGGATTTGATTTTGAGTCCATTTTCAACCCGAAAAGATCCAACTAGCTCATCTTTATTAATACCAGCCCACCAGTACCCCACCTCCACCTTGATGGCGTCTGAGTCAAAGTGGAGCTCTGTGCCCGTAACTGATCCAGCCACGAGCAAATCCATCTGGTCCATCAAGAGTCACTCTCATTTCATCAGTTCATAAAACCTTTGAAAAATCTGTCTTCAGATAATTCTTGGCCCAGTCTTGACGTTTCAACTTATTATTATACAGGATTCTAAATAAATAAAGCTATCACTTAAAACATCAGACATAAACAGGCTTAGATAATAATTGCAATAGTACAAACAATTACATAAAGAAAAGTAGAGTTGCAGAGGTAAAGTTTTAAGCATTTGGTAGGATAAGTTAATATAAAGTATTCCATTCACTTTGATTGTTGTAATGTTAGCTGAGCTTGTTCCAGAGATGTTAATGGGGCTGGTGCAACTGTCTGCAGTGTCTATAGTCTATACATAAAAGTGGGGATCTGGTCAAAATACTCACTTGCCTAATAATTGTGCACACACGGTGAGTGTATATATATATATATATATATATATATATACATACATATACATATACATATACACACATATACATACACACACACACACACTGCTTTGAGTAAAGAAGCATCAACCACTCATGAGGAATTTTACAATGATTATTTTGCATAGATTTTGCAGTAGAAAACAATTAGGAGAATAAAATGTTGCCGAAGTCTATTAAAAAAAAAAAGTTAAACTGGTGCACCTTCTTGCAGATCTGATATATTGGGTTTCACATTGACAATGTAAAAGCACATTTTTCTGCTGTCACTCCACCACATAATGAAGTCCATTTCTCTTTACATTGTAAAAAAAAAAAAAATGTGCATGAAAAGCTTCTTGCAAGTTGACTGACTAGATCTGTGAGCTTGTAGATTTTGGAAAATGTTTTACTCGGTTTTAATCTTATTTCCTGAAAGGCTAGAAGACCAGGGTCTGCTTCTTCCTTTTGAGTTCCATCCGACTTAAGTGCTTCCTACTTGTCATTTAGAAGTATTTCACATATGGAAATAAAAAAAAAAAAATTGGTGCCATTTCTGTAGAACGTACAACTGAATTTTACTTAGGTTTTTAAACAGCTCCAATTTTTTCCACACAATATAAAATGAATCATGTCATAAAAGCAGTTTATAGAATTAAGGCATTTGCCAGATGGAATTATATTAAAAAAAAATATTCCACTTGTAATCATTTAGACAAGTTTCCTGAACAAACAAACAGTGCTCTTCTTGGGGTTTGTTCATTGCTCAATTTCATTCACTTTCATAAACCAAGTGCAAGGAGAATGGTCATTCTCTAATCTTTGAAAAGTGCTTATGGATTTTGGCATATTCTAATTTCACAAAAATGCATTTGCTTTGGTTAATTGATACATTTGCATGGTCAATTCTATACGCAAAAAGTACTCGAGTGCAAAGGTACTTCAAAATGGCAGGTGAATTCAGAACTTGACAGAAATACAGTATATAAAATGATACAGATTTTCCACTTTTTGTCCTGTAGGGCATCTGCTAGGATTTATGCAAATCGGGAGTAAAGGGCCCTGGTGTAGATGGACTGTCGAAGCTTGACAATGTGAGCGGAACGTGGCTGTTGTAGGCGGAAGGAAACTACAAATAACCAAGAAAGTTTCAGGCAAATGTAAAAGGAAAAAAAAATATATTATATATCATTTATTACAAACACATACAGTATATACATTTTATAACAGACAATTATGGTAGAGACAGTCTAACCAAAAACTGAAGTTAATTACATGAATAATGCCAGAGCACTGGTCACCTGAGCTCTGTGCTTTAGTTTGCCTGTGTAAACAAGTCTGGGGCCCATTTAGCCAAGTTTTTTTGGAGCTCCCCCCCTTATTTATTGCATTTAAAGTAAACATGTCACAAAACTACACTAGCATATGTTCGCTTCATGAGTACACAGTGCATCATGCACTGAAAAGAAGATAACCAGTGAGATCAGCTACCCTTGAGGTCTTGTTCACACCAGCAGACGTGTTTCATCGAGCGCACTGTTTCCAGTGTGCATTGCGGTTGCACCACTTCTTACTGTGGTGTGCTTAAAAAAGTACTGCATGCCGTTTTGTTTGTTTTAAGCGCACACCATCGGAATGCAGTGGTGTGAATGGTCACCACCCATGACAAGGCAAATTGCTGTGCTGGAAAAAAAAAAAGACCAGAGCAGCCTGAACACAGAGTGTGAACGAGCCCTAAAACTAGTTCTACAAGCAAATTACCCACAGCACACCTGGGATCCAGTTTGTACAATCTAACATTTACATTTTTCTTAATATTTTTAAAGTGTATTCCATTCCCAAAATGACACTAACAAAACATAAGTTATACTGGGGTGCAGAATTCCTATTGCCCTACGCCAGGGACATGCAGTTCCAAGTGCCGGGCAGGTGGCTAGATGTAGAGTAAGGGAGCGGACAGTTGTTTTGTAAAGGTGGTCTGAGCGGCTGTTCAGATCACATGTAGCAGCCTGCTTGTCGCCACCCCCCCCTGCCCCCGGTGGATTTCTTTTACTGTTTTTATGCATGCTCTTACCATGTTTCTGTGAGTATTTAATTAATTGTTTATCCTTATTATATGGTGTGCACTACGGGCTTTATGATTTTATCTCCACTTATCTGGACACTGAGAGAATTTGCCAATATATGAATTGTATATTATTTGATACATTTTTTTTATATATACTTAGCGCAGCACATTTAATATATGTACATATACAAAGCTGATCCAAGCCCCTGTACACTCCAGCTCAATTTGTAAATAAGCTGAATATTAAAGACATTAAAAAAAGATTTGATTGGGTCAACTATTTATTGATATCGGGGCACTGGCCTGATCAGAGTTCATTCCACATGGTCTACCCATCTCTATTAAAGTGCACCTTGTGTTAAGTAACAGAACATTGAGTAGATTTTATCAAAAATGGAGCAGACAGAATCTGGAGCAGTTGTGCATGGCAACCAATCAGCTTCTCTCTTTTTATTTTCAAAGCTTAACTGAACAAACTGAAGAGAGAGCTGATTAGTTGCTGTGGGCATCTGCTTCACTTATGATAAATTCCTCCCACCAATTTCTTTTGTACAAAATGTGTCCTTAAGACATATTAAAAATGAAACGGGAGACTTGTAACACATTTTAGGGGTAAATAGAAGAAAACAAATCATGGGTAGTGCATAACTGGCACACTCACCTGGAACAAGGTATTAGCACCAGGCATTCTTGCCGGGCTGAGAGAAGCCACAGGACTTAATGTGCTCCAGAAGTGTATGCTGGAGAGCATGGCATTTGGAGTTAGCAATATGGGGGTCTATAAAGAAAACAAAATGGCAATATTAAAAATGTTGCTTGTCTACATTTATATACTGGTGCATTACAAAGAACATGTGTACAGATAGAATGTTCTACCTTCCAATAGTAATAATTTATTTTGTGCATGAATATATGGACAGCCCAAGGGTTTTCTCCCAGAGACAGACAAGAACTAACGAATGGAAACTCCTACTAAGCTGCCACTATAATCACCTTTAGAAGTTAAAGTTAAACCAGAACTCCTGATCAGCTCTTCTGGGTAGCGAGTAGGAAATTACTGAAGACTTTGACTCATCAGGAAGGACAAGTAACTCGAATTTTTACATTTTTAAGAAAATACTTCACATTGTTTTAAAACCGTAAAAAAATTTAACTTAAAAACACACACACAAAATTATATTTATGGATTGAAAAAACAAAACAAAAAACACAACAACAACATAGTACACAGCCAGAAGCTCACCTGTACAATATTTATATTTCCCCCTTATTTAGTTTAACTTACTCTGTCTAAAGGTGGCCATACATGTAGCGATTTGAGACTGATTTATGATAAGTGATTCTTCAACAATTATTGAACAACGCAACACACTCTGTTCTGCACTTTATGACTTATAAAAATATTGATCCACAATAAGTTTACTTATAAATGTAAATGATCTTTTAAACATGATCACCAAATCCATCTGGATTATGATAGATTCTGCCAAAACATGCAGATATTTCTTCAATCTAATCAGAAGCGATTGTCAAAATCCTGCCATAGCTGTCGATCAATTTAAATGATTGGTTGAATGATCATATGTATAAGCATATGGCCACCTTAAAAGATTTCGCTATGCTTCTGCTGCAAGACATGAAAGGTCAACTGAAGTCTGATGGTTGCTGTGCTGCAAACTACTTGTACCCATGCTGATTACATGTGCTTTCACTTGCTTGTGTAAACACAGTACCAACATAACAGAATCCCTTAGTTGAGAGGAAAACAGACAAATATTCGGCTCTAACACAGATATGATTACTTAGGCAATGAAAGGCAACATGTTATCAGAATGAGTTAACGCAGTTGACAGATCAGCAACTGTCAGATCTTAGTGGGTCTTTCATCAGACTCTTTAGCTGCAGTCTGATGAGTCCTCAGCAAAAAAAACTAATGGTGGGTATGCATTGCACGATTTTCATACACGGAAATCGTACACGAGCAGTCTTTCGAATGAGAATCGACCAGTTGATTGTACATCACCGATTTATGTTTTTGATATTGTGATCAAACTTTTGCGATGGGCACCAGAAAAAACTTTGCTCTCAATTATACCGGGAGATATTAGGAAGCGCAAAAGAGGCGTTCTGCAAAATCGTTTAGTGGCTACTAGAAAACTGATACTGCGATATTGGAAATCATCAGTGATACCACATATTAGAGAGTGGGTTTGTGAAGTTAATTTTATTATGATGATGGAGGAACTTGATTCTCGAGATCCTGAATTTTGTGAAACTTGGAGCCCTTGGAAAGACCTCAACATCTAGTACATTAGAAAAACTCCTATAAGTCTGGCTGAAGAGGAGTAGAAATATTATGAAACTGAGAAAAATATATGACAGTAAG